TCTCTTTACGTTTCTATTGCTCCAATCTGACCTTCTAATTCCAACAAGATCCATGGTATCAGACAGGCTAGCAACTCGTGGAGCTGGAGGTGGCGGTGACCGTCGTGGTAGTGGTTTTCTTGGTGGCGGCAGTGGTGGTGGTGGTGGAGGAGTCTAGAACCCAGCTGGGTTCTCAGTGGAGAACCCCAGCTGGGTTCTTTGAGAACCCAGCTAGGGTTCTCCACCGAGAGAGCTGGAGCAAAAAATAAAATAAAATAAAATTTAAGATCTGATAAAAAAGGAAAAAAAAAAAGCTAGAACCAAATGGGATGAAATTGATGGTTACTAGTGGTTGATGAGTACCCAAATTTTCTGGATTCTTTGCTATTGAGAAGCAAGGGGAATAGATGGAGCGGTAGGAAGAGAAAGAACGAGAATGAATGAGAATGGAGGAAGAGAAAGAAAGGAAGGAGAAGGGAGGAAGAAAAAGAAGGAAGAAGTGAGGAAAAGCAGTGGCCAAACGGTGGTGATGGTGTTGCTGCCGGCGCCGGTACTGGAGAAGACATGGGAACAGTGAATAGTCGAAGAAGAGGAGAACCGCTGGTTGGAGTTAGGGAAGAAGATACTGGATGACGAAGATGAAACAGAGTTAAGTGTATTAACGGAAATAACGGAAATTTAAGTCAGGTGTAACGGAGAGTGTTGACAGTTTGGGTAAACTTATCATTTTCCTTTTTTTTTTTAATCATAAATACATATAGGAAAATGTCAAACTGACATTAATTTTAATTTAAGTGTCAAGTGATTGAATTTAATTAGATAATTGGTAAATTAAAAGTTAATTTTTTTAATATAAATTTATAAAAAAATATAGTTATTATACTTTTAACTTGTACTTTAAAATAAAAATTAGAAAAACTCTTTTATCGATGAAGATTAATTAACACTAATATAACTATAACTTTAAAGTTAGAATCCATTGTATTACTCTGCATAGTGCATACCCTAGATCTGTCCATGTGCATGGAGAATAGATCATATTTAGGAGGATTAACTGGAACCTTTAAAGTCTCATATTGTATGTTTTTAATGAAACCTATTGAATTAACTAATAATTTTTAAACCCTAATTTAAAGAGGATTAGGGTTTTCTCATGAGAACACTTTTGACTTTAAAAAATAAAAGAGAGAGAGTTAATTGCAAGCTTCAAAGTGTAGAGAATATTCAAAAATATTTGAAAAGCAACCATCATTTTTTCCCTCATATAGTGACCGTTGTGGATAGGTGGGTGCATGCATATGTATCAAAGCATATCGCATTGAGGGAATTAAAGAAGACATGACATCTCTTAATTAATCATCAATTGGTTTTCTAATCATCAATTAGTTTCTTAATCATCAAGTGGTGATTCTAAGATATAGAAATATATCTTGTACCCGTGTGGGGACATCATCACCAATATTCATTTTGTCTAATAATTAAGAAATAGTGAAATATTACATGTTCTCTCTTCTTATCAAATCCCAACTCAACAAGACAAAAGCGTGCATCAATCTTTAGGCCATATCCTACTTGAATAGATCTAATTCTGTTGGCTTATAAAGAAACAGAAGGGCCCTAATGCCGCGTGCAGTCAAATATTTTTCCCTTGTTTTAGTTTCGTGGGCTTACAAGTATTAGAAGGTTGCCGTGGTTAGGGGTTGCAATGCATGCTAATTTGCTTTAGGTGGGGACGATATGATATGTCCGGTCGCTAATTTGACTCAGATTAAAAGGTTAACCTTATTGCATATAAGAAATTAAATGTTGGAAAATAAGAAGACAACAGAAGAATGGAAATATTCTGAGAAGTGATTTCATTTTTTTTAATGATTAAAAAATCTTTTAAAATACAATAGAATTTAGAAACTCTTTCAAAATTAAATATAGAACTCAAACTGATCTATGCTTGAATTTAGATTGACTGAATAAACACCTGTTGAAGGAATATGTCCTTATAGAAAGATACCATTTGAATATCTTCTAGTTGCCAAAAGTTATGTTTGAATTTTATACATGTCTCTCTAATTTTAAATTTAAAAAAGAGAAATGATTAGGACACTCTTTGGTTTAATATCCGGTTCATCATCTTTTGGTTCAATATTCGGTTCATCATCCGATTCATCATCTTTCGGTTTAATTGTTAAAAATATAATACAAATACAATCAATTCAGTTGGTTCTGTATCTTGTGTGCATGATTGTATCATTTGTGCATGATTGTATCATTATACTTGTTTGTTTTTAATTTCAGACTAAAAAATAATGATTTTTTAATGACTAAACCGAAAGATGTTAAATCGAATGTTGAACCAAAAGGTATACCAATAATTGTCCTTTAAAATATTATATAAAAAATTCAAAACTAATAAAAAAATAAAGTTATACTTTTGAGTGGTTAAAGCCAAAAGATGTTACGAGTGCTTATCTAAATGAAAATATAAATGGGTAAAGGTTAAACTGAAATCCCACACACCATAAGTCCAACTTCACTTATGGTCTATTTGACATAATGGTTAAAATTTAGTGGATAATGGGTACTAGGTAACAAATAACAAATAATGGTAGTATGTAACAAGTGGTGATTAGTGGATGGTGGGTGGCAGATAGTGGATAGTAGGTAGCGAATTCAATTAATATAACTATTTCACTATATAATAGTTAGCAATTGTTATTTTAAATTAAATAACTAATAAAAACATATTTAAAAACAATTAAGTGTATTTTTTAATGTTTTTTAATATTAAAAATTTTAATTTTATAAAAAAATAATAAATTAATAAATTATAATAGTGTAATCATATACTAATTTTTATTTTTTATTAAGAAAAATTATATTAGTTTTGGAAAATGATTGGAACACACTCAATTCAATACATATTTTGACATACTTTTGATTCTTCCATTAAAAATATAATATAAATACAGTTGATTAAGTCGGTTCCTTCATCTTTTGTACATGATTGTATGTTTAAACTTATCTACCTTTAATTTTAGACTAAGAAATAATGATTTTTTAATGAATGTGTTGTACAGCATATTGAATCAAGTATGTTCCAATTACTGCCCAATAGTTTTTAATAAAGTAAAAAAAAATTTAATATTTTTGTTTAATTAACAAATTTTGTTTATTAAGCTAATATATTTTTTAT